ATAGTATGGGAGCCCAAGCAGAGATTTTTGGATTTACTCGAGCGCGGCAGAATAACATATGGGGAGCAACCTTGCACATAGTTAAGTACTCCCACTATACTTGAGCCATCTATGTACGGCCGAACGTCTAGGGCAGCAAAAACAAAATTTCAACAAACGGCCATGACATTTAATAATAATAATAATATCATTTATTGTCAGACAACACAGATCCATATGTTAGTATACAATATAACTTATAACTAAGGGTTAGTAGCCTATAAGTAAGTATTCACATAAGTTTTGATTTTTAATACGTCATGTACCTTAAAGGCACTCCGCGCGAACGACACCAGGAAGAATAATTAACTTCTATTTCAGTCATCATTCGCACGGAGCGCCTCCAAAATGGTGCATGCGGATCACCTGCCACGACTCTCAGAATGGTGTTGTTACTGCTCCGCACTCTACACATCAGGGACGCAACTTTTTGCCGCAAGACGGCATGGAAACCGTTTGTTCGAGTTACAGCAAACATTCCGGAGGCACTACAGAAGCGGGGCAGTCCCAACATCATTCTGAAAATATTATTGTATTGCACGCGCAGATAGTCCATCGATTTTTTCTTATATCGGGACCACAGACTTCCCGCGTACATACCCTGACAATACGCTTTGAATAGGGTTATCTTGACCTGATCCGAACAACGAGCGAATCTTCGGGTCGGGACTTTTGGTCGGGTCCAAATCGTCAGTCTTTTGAATAGGAGCTACTGGAGGGTTCACAAAAATCTGCGCTTGGGCTCCCCTACTATTACTACTTAAGTGGTAAATCCATGTCTAAACGTTGATAATAATTTTAACTCCCAAACACCTTAAGTTAATTTTAAGTAAATATGGTGTAGTTAGTATAATATAGTACAAGTGGTTATGGCTAGTCATGCTTTCTTAAAAGTCTCTTCTGTGGTGTCGCCTGAGGCGGGTCGTTATGCTCCTTAAAATATGGTTGGGCGAAGCGATGGCTGGTCCATGCGTCATACTCGTGAACGGGTGCTGCCAGCGGAGATGAGTCTGCCCTAACTTCCTTGATATTGAAAATGTTAATGTCTAATTACACTTAATATAAATAACACGATGGATGGATGGAGGATGGAGGAGCTCGATGGCGCAAGTGGTTAGCGCCTTCGGCTGCGATCGTTGAACTTCAGCAAATTTCACAGTGGTCGGTCATTGGATGGGTGACCAAAAATTACTATCTCGAGCTCCTCCGTGCTTCGGAAGGCACGTTAAGCCGTTGGTCCCGACTGCATCTGCAGTCGTTAGCACCCACCAATCCGCACTGGGCCCGCGTGGTGGGTCAATCTCCCTATGCCTGTGCCCCAGCAGTGGGGACATTCATAGGCTGATGATGATGATAAATAACAGTATTTGTATGTATTTGTATTAATTAATATAGATTTGATCATTATGTAATGAAAGGTGACTTTATGAATCATCCCTGAAGTCATTTTTCAACTTGACGACTCTGTTAATAATAAAACAGGGAGAAAAATATAGCCCTTGCAGAGTTTCTTGCCAGTTCTTCTCAGTACGAGGTCTCCTGCCGTAGATTTACGAATCGATGGCGTAGCTTCCAGACATTCATGAGTGCTTGTAAGCCTTAACTGAATAAATGATTTTGATTATGATTATTATTGATTATAACAAGCTACTGTTCTTACCGAAGTGTTAGTCACTCTTAAAGAAAATTTAACGAGTAAAAATTCCAGGCGGTCACTTAGCACAATGCACTCATTCGCCCGGATAGCGGAGGGTGCAGGTTCGAGTCCCATCTGCTGCCTGGTCCACGTGGTTTTTTTTCTAGTAAAATATTATTTCTCGCGGAGATCTGTTACGTGCTCCATCGAGGGACCCGTTCAACCCGTCGCCGCGGGACCCGCGGAAGGCCGGTGCTTCTCGCAGAACCGCCAGTACAATTTCAATCGTGCGGATAAACAGTCGATAAAGGTTTACATCAGCAACTAGCGGCCCGCCCTCGCTTCGCTTCTTTTTTTTTTTTTTTTTTTTTTATTTATTTATTGCACTCATGTGGTTATTACAGATGTTACATAAGGATTAGATACAGACACATGAACCCTGAAAGGGTATAGCAATTTAATTTAAAATGTCCTTAATTAAATAATATTAATAATCTACTTCAATTAAATTTAATTAAAATTAACTTGAACATAATTATTAACTAATAATTAATAACACTGATAAATAGCATTCAATAATAACAATAATAATAATTTCAAATAAAATAACATTACGTAGGAACATTAAAAAAAAAACATAAAAAATAAATAAGGTCTTGCTTAAATTAACTAGGTACTATTTAAAATTGAAAAACTCTTGCATCGAATAAAAGCTGGTCTTTGATAAAAATGATTTCAGTAGTTTTTTAAATTTGACTAGGTTTTTTTCGTTTTTTATATGTTCGGGAATTTTATTGTACACTTTCACGGCCATAGCAAAAGGTCCTGTGTGTACTAAATGCAATTTGGAATTTGGAGGGGCTAATCTTTGATGCGGTCTTAATCTACTTGGTCGTTCTTGTTGGGGAAAAAGATGAGTGTGTTTTCTAACAAACATACATAATTCCAAAATGTATATATTCGTAAGGGTTAGAATACCTTCACTTATGAAATATGGTCGGCAACTTGTCCTTTGATCAATATTTACTATAATTCTGAGGCAGCGCTTTTGGAGTATAAATAATTTTGAAATATCTACGCTATTTCCCCACAAGACAATGCCGTACTGGAGCCACGCATTAGCGTACGCATAATATGCATTCAGGGCGGTCTGTTTGTCGGTGGACCTTTTTAATTCATAGAGCGCATACGTGAACCTTGACAATTTTGTAGCTATTTTATTAATGTGATTTTTCCAGTGTATGTGAGTGTCTATTTCAAGGCCCAAAAGGGAGTAAGAGTTAACACATTCTAATTTGTGATTTTCAAATGTGAAATTTATTTTCAATTTTTGCCTTTGGTAGGGTCCGAACTGCATCAGTTTAGTTTTAGTTAAGTTAATTTTAAGGTTGTGGTCGGTCAGCCAGTTATTTATTTTTGACAGAAGTTGTTCTGTTTTATTGTTCACTTCGTCATCATTATTACACGGCATCAATACAGATACATCGTCGGCAAAAAGTGTGCATGGGCTGTCTATGATGTTAGGTAGATCATTTATATAAATTAAAAAGAGCACACAACCAAGCACGCTTCCTTGAGGTATCGATTTTGAAACATTTAATTTTGCTGATTTGACTATGAAAATTTTTCCGGTAGGATCATGATGTTCTATTTCCACATATTGACTTCTGTTTTGTAAGTAGGACACAAACCAATCGTGCACCAACCCTCTAACCCCTATACCATACAACTTATTTAATAGGATGTGGTATAATACGCGGTCGTACGCCTTACTCATATCTAAGAGTAGACCTAACACATGTTTTTTACTATCAATTATATTTAAAATGTGTTGGAAGTAGTTGAATAAAGCTAATGACGTCGATTTGTTTTTTCGAAATCCATTTTGGCTATCATTAAATATCTTAAATTTTTCGCAAAACGAGTACAAACGGTTTGCCATCGCCATTTCATATATTTTGGAAAACGTTGTCAATAGTGCTACTGGACGGTAATTATTGGGGTCTTTTTTGTCTCCTTTCTTATGAAGTGGTTTAATTACAGCAAGTTTGAGCATGTCCGGAAATACACCTTCAGCAAATGACTGGTTTATGAGGTATGATAAGGGAGGTGCTAATTTTTCAGCGCATTTTTTAATCAAAGTTGGGGGCAGCTCGTCATATCCGAAACTTTTTTTATTTTTCAGCGATTTGTGTTAAAAAATCTTTGTATTGAAACATTTGCGCATTGCAGGTCGTACTTATCTTTGCACTGACTGCATGTAAGGTATTGTCTATTCGTAATGTTTTGGAGACAACCAGCACATTTTAGCGCCATTTTTTGAATTTTTCACCCCACAAATAAGCACAGAATAGAACGGAATAAGCACAGAGTGACCTTCGTTAATCGATTACTGGGGGCGGAACTTTCATGATGACTTTTATTATGAGACTCTTCTAAGCTTACGGTTCAGCGATAGGGCTTGTCGTTTACCGCCGCGTATCGTGGTAACAGCCACGCTGTAGCTCAGCGCGTAGTATGACTCGGATGTAAAAGCATTGACTCACCGTCACGTGATACACTACTGACCGCTGCGTCGAGCGCTTTGAAATTGCAACGACTTATTTAAATGTACGTTCACTTTACACTGTCACAGTTCTTCAGTTTTAAGCAAAATCGTAAATCTGTTTGCGGAAATGCAGCCTTGATGTTTATGGCTTTGTTTTGATACCAATTAAAATTTAGAACACGCAAAATATTCACTAGTTTATATTTTTTAAAGACGGAGAGCTAGCGGGACGGTGTTTACTGTTTGCCGTTCGGCCGGACGGATCCTTCGGTGTAGAGCTGAAGTGTAGACTACAGTTTTTGTTCTCAGGCTTGTATTATACACAATGACATTCATCTATGATTCTTCTTATACCTGCATGCAAAGTCTCAGCCCGATCGGTTTAAAATTGACAAAGTTTCATACAAACTTTCATTCCCTATTTTATCCCCTTGGGGGTAGAATTGATCAAAATCCTTTCTGAGCGGATGCCTACGTCATAACATCTACCTGCATGCCAAATTTCAGCCAGATCCGTCCAGTGGTTTGGGCTGTGCGTTGATAGATCACTATGCCAGTAAGTCAGTCAACTTTGAGTTTTATATATAGGTATATAGAGATGTATTCTGAAATGACACAAAATTTTGACGAACGGATCCTCTAATTGAAAATTTTGTGAGTCTTTACAAAATACCATTGCAGTACAGCGCCGTCGGAGTCGGCTTGACCTTCCGGCGATTACGATTTAGAGATTCGTGTGATATTTTCCAATTAATTCATGTAATTTTTTGTTCTCAGCTTTTGCTGCAGCGATGGGCGTGGCGTCCGACGGGATGGGTGGGTGGCGTGCCCGAGTGGCCGCCTGCCGCGAGTCCAGGAAGCTCGTGCTGGTGATCGTGGCCATCGCTCTACTGCTGGACAACATGCTGCTCACCACAGTTGGTGAGTGACTGAAGAAGATTTATGTATTACCTGCCAGGGAGGCTCTGGATAATTATCAAGATAATTACGTATTGATAGTTAATTAATTATCATTGATAATAACATGTAACTATAGTAGAAAGCTTGTGTGCGGTCTCTGTGAAAACACGATTTTTCGGTCGATAAAAGTAGGTTTTATGATTTCCAAAAAAGTTTTTGACTTTTCCAAAATATTTTTACATTTTCTTAAAGCCTTTTCCGTCTTTTGAGCCCTCATACGTCCTCGTAGCTCTAAACCTCGGAGAATCAGGGGCGAGTCGCACTTTTTACAAAAATGGGGGTCTACTGGAGCGACCGAAAAACATTTTAACATTAAATTAGAAATTTTATTGCACGTATGAGGGCTCAAAAGACACGGAATTTTAAGGGTATTTTGAAAATGTAAAAATTATTTTGAAAAAGTCAAAAACTTTTTTAGAAATCGAAAAAAACCCGACTGTTTTCAACCGAAAAATCGTGTTTTTTCACAGAAAATTTCCGAAATCTCGAGAACGGGGCCGAATTTCAATAATATGAAAAAAATCACAGATCTCGTGCTCTGCACGACTTGAAAGGGCATTGAAATGAAATCTACCTATCATAGATTATTATTAAAAAAAAAACAACTTTTCGCCCGTCGTACTCACACACACTTCTATTCCAACGATAGAACTACCGGAACTACAGTCGCCAACTCGTGTCTAGTTCATCGTCGACATTGAGACAAGTGCCATGGGAGACTTTCGACTTTTTAACAGAATAAGGTTCCTATTGGTCCAACTGGACAACGGGCGATTCTGTAAAAAAACTCACTTCCGATTTCGGTAGCTGCCATTTAAGACATTAATTTGATATGCATTACGCCATGACGTTTTACGTATTCATCCGGACGGTATGAGTTTGATTCCATGAAAGATGGGTCGGGTGCTAGTATGGGATGCAATCTGTTCAGATACGCTTGTCCCTTCCCATCTACATGGAACCAACAACAGAGCTGGTGCGGCTTGCGAAGCGGCTGAAAAAGCTAAGGCATGCAAATACAGGTGTCTAGGCTCCGAAGATGATTTTGTCCCATTCGGTGTCGAGACCCTTGGTCCGTGGGGTCCTAGCGCTATAAGGCTTATTAAGGAAATATCAAAAAGGTTGGTCGACATCACAGGAGACCGATGAGCTGGCAGCTACCTCGGACAAAGAATTAGTCTAGCTATTCAAAGGGGGAACGCTGCCAGTATCATTGGAACCTAGCCTAAGGGGACTCTTTTTAATAATGTATTTTAGTTATTATATATTTTAGTTTTTTCAGTTATAAATATCTTACTATTTGTGCTTTGAAATTGATTTACGCCATTACATGGCAAAATGTCGCTATGTCTGTAAAAGCAGCCAGTATTAGATATTTGACATTTATCAGAAACCCTAATAAAGGAGGTCGTAAGGAAGATGGCATCTTACAGAATAGAGTCTGTGCGGAGAGAGAATGGGCGTGGCGAAAAACGGAACTTACATTAAGATTTTTATATGACAATCCAACCCAACCATCTGTCAAACATCGAAATTTGGAATTGATACGGAGTTTTGACGTGACAACGTCTTAAATTAGGTTGCTCGGTACCAACTATACTCGGTAACGTTACGATGAGTCTCTCGTGTTAAGTTTAAGTTTACATGTACAATGTTTTAGTAAACAAAATATATTTCTATAGTTAAAATTTGTGCAATTCTTATTTTCATTCAATTCCTTGTTCCTATTGTGCAATTTAATTATATTCATATCAATAAATATTCTACCGAGAAAAAGACGTCACGTAAAATCTTCGCCCGTAAAACCGACTTTACAGGCAACCATTTTTTTTGGCATGATTTCATCGAGTGCGGTTGGCGTCTTATTTTAATTATTCTTAAATTTGTTCATAGTGGATATTGTGAAATAAAATTGGTGTGATTTTGTGTTACAACTGTCTGCGTAACTGAAGAATTAGTGGAATCTTTAAAATATACGATATTACCGGTCAAGTGGAACTTTATTGTAGTATTGACTACCTCACAGAAGCTTATCGAAAAAACCAACTCGATATATTTCATGCCAAACACTCCAAGAAGCATTAGAATGCGTCACACCTACATTCTAATGTAAAAAAGGAAGATTAATACAAAAATAAGACGATGGCTGCATGACTTTGCCTTTGCCTTTCTCAATAGAGGAGAATAGATAAAAAAAATGTGTTGATACGGATTTCTTTGTTGTTGTGATTTCTTGCGGTTTTTTGTATTTAATCATGTCTAAAAGGGGTAAAACCTTACAAATACGGTAGAAAACCACTACTGCGCCCTCAAATCTACCTATGCTGGAATTTAAAAATAGATTATTTGGATTTTATCTATACAAAAGTTTCCCTAAGGATTTTATGGTGTCTAAAGTACACGCGGACCAAATGGCGCGGGGAGTCCTGTCAAATTAATGAGTCTGTATTTAATTGCCGCAATTTTCATGTCTGAGCTGAGACGAAAATCTTTTCTGCTATTGTGCCCGTGGATCAGTAGGGAATGTCGAGATTCTGCACCTCCCTCGGGAGTTATCTACAGGTTGTTTTAAGTGCGAAGCAATCTTTACTAGTACAATGAAAAAGTTTTACCTATTACATAAAAATTAGTTTTGTTGAAATGGTTTTGTTGTTATAACAAAAAGAGTTATGTAAAAGAACAATGTTAAAATTGGCCTAAGAACCAACACCAATTTGGCATTTCTGATAATTTTTAGTTTATTTTTTGCGATAATTATCAGAATTTAGATTGTGACGGACACTTCCAGTTAAGTAAGCTAAATTAAAAAGTTAAAAAATAATCTGAGACAATAAATACCATTTTATGTGTATAATCTATGGCAGCGCTGCAAACAAAACACTCTTTCTTCCTAATGCCGGCACTTCACTTGGTTATTCGTATTTGCTATTTTAAAACATTTTTTTTGACGTGACAACGTCTTAAATTAGGTTGCGGCTGGGAGTCACTTATGAAAAAGTGTAACGCTCGGTAACGTTACGATGAGTTTAAGTTTACATGTACAATGTTTTAGTAAACAAAATATATTTCTATAGTTAAAATTTGTGCAATTCTTATTTTCATTCAATTCCTTGTTCCTATTGTGCAATTTAATTATATTCATATCAATAAATATTCTACCGAGAAAAAGACGTTGTCACGTAAAATCTTCGCCCGTAAAACCGACTTTACAGGCAACCATTTTTTTTTTTTGATTTATTGTATTTACTTTGGGTACACTTGATAACAAAACATTAAATCTTGCCAAACTGAGAACAGTTTGTTGGCAAGTAACTGCGCTAAAACTAATTACTTTACAAGTGCACTACAATCTAAATAATAATACAAACAAAACATATACACAACAGCAGCAATACGACAGTGAACCAGACATTATATATATCACACCATTCCACATCACCGCAACAATCTTTATATATATAATTCTTCTGTGAGTGTGTATGTCACTGAACTTCTCTTAAACGACTGGACCGATTTTGATGAAATTTTTTGTGTGTGTTCAAGGGGATCTGAGAATGGTTTAGATTCAAATTAATTAATTAAATTCATGGACAAACCCTATTTTTTTAGGGCGGTACGAAGTTCGCTGGGTCAGCTAGTATTTTATATAGTTTTTAGTAACACATTTTTTATATTAGATTTTAAAGATTTTTTTATAAACTTAGGTTCTTTTCTAAGCCACGCCATTTCGTTGTACATAATCGGCACCAAGTATCTATTTAATCTTTGATCATGACATCAGTCTGTCCTTTTCATTCCTTATTAAGCATGACAAGGACAAACTGTTGTCAAGTGAAGGGCCGGCATAAAACTCGTTAATCTGTGGTTGTGGTGCATGCCATTTGTATTCGTAGTAATCTGTGGCATTCGTGCATTCCAAAGAGTATTAAAATATACCGGAAAGTGCGTTCTTGTTTCGGATTACCTGTTGTGTGTGTTTATTTGCGATTGTTTTTCCTTTAATTTAATTTCGGCTATCTAATATACTATCGATGTTACCAAAGAGCAGAGCCCTTATTACCAAGTGCTAGTGAACCTGTGCCACAACATCCTGAGAGAATCATACTGCCAAATTATTCAAGAACACCTGATACACATTCACGCTGCATATTTACACAATGTACCTACATGTGATATACAAATAAATACAATAAACAATATGATATAATTATGTGAAAAATAGTCAATAAATAAGAAGCTAAACAACAGTTTTTATTTTATTCATGATTCCTACCTAGCCAAGTTTTTCTTAATAGTTATTCTTTAAAATCACACCGAATAAAATGAATTAGTTGTAATATTAATTCACTTCATACTGAGTTTATACTAAATTCATAAGTGGACCTATGGTTGATTGAATATTAAACATAACCTCAAAAAAATTTTAGTTTTCCTAATAATTTAAGTTCTCATAAGTGTCCGTCAATAATTTTTGTTTTTACAGTCAAATATTTACTAACGATTTTGAACCTAGAAAATAATATTTCATGATTGTTGGTTCTTAGGCTAACTATGTATGGACGCTGAACAATGTCATTTACAAAACTGTTTTGTTAATTCTTAAAATTATTCAGTAATTAGTTACAAAATGATTGGTTTAGTATAGCTTCACTATACTGTTATTTGTAACCGAATAACTGAACTAATTTGTTATCTGGATCTGGAACATAATTTTATGATGAATTACAGCTGTTTATTATTATCTTACTTGCAAAAGTAATTTTGCTGCTTTAAAACCTTGTGCGTACGCACTACTTACTAATAAGTTAAGTAAGTATTGGGGGTTATGAGGGGATTGGTGTAATCATAATACCGTGGTCCCAAATATATTTCCTAATACAAAATTTATAAATTTACCTTATATACACGCACTAAACAATCTCTATAGCGCGATTCAGCGGATGTACCGAACATTTAACAAA